GTGTGTTTGTCCCGCTTTTGAACGCTCTCGCGAGGAGAGAGAGAGAATGAAATTTCATATAATCTCCGATAAACATAAATATCCGATATATTGACATAAAAATTAATTCGATGATGAACGTTTAATGAAAATGTGCATCTTTATATCTCTCTCTCTCTCTCTCTCTCTCCAGTTTCTCCATCTCATAAATTATGTCCCTTTGTATACCCGAAAATCGCAAGCTTGGTATAACGAATGGGTTAAGCTTCCGTAATGAAAACGCTCGATGTTTACACACGTAACTTATCGTACTGCTATTTTATGAGAATTACGTATCTCGCGATATTTAATTATAAACAACGTATGGATATCCAATATATGTATCATCGATAAATCCTTCAAATTTAAAGCGCCTTCAAATTGCAAGCGCAACCTATCTTTCGTTGAATTTTTAATAAAAGAAAAGTTGACTGCAAATCTGTCAAACAATCAGAACATTAAAATATTTCCTGAGAAACTCAGCATTGAAAAACACAATTTATATCCTTTTTAATCATTTATATATATATATATATATACTTATTTTTTATCATAAGCAAATATTAAATTAATGATAATATCATATAAATATAATATAAATATAATTTTACTGAATATAATATTATACAATATTAAATTAAAAATTTAAACCGAAACGTTTAATGTTTTTATTGTAATTCGTAATGCAAGAATAATTAAATATCAGTAACTACATCTTGTGCTGTGGTTCTTTATGCTCTTTCTTTTCATATTTTTGAAATTATAATCACAATCGTTTTTTACGTTTTTTTTTTAAATTTAAACTTTTTTTCATGATTAAATAATTGATTGACGATTGATTCCAGTGAAATAGGATCGAACAATAAGACAATATATTTTTTTTTAGCAACGATGGTTCAGATATGATATATTTGATTTCAATTCAGTTTATTGCATTTCAATACGTATGTACATCCGCATAGAAATCGACGCAGCAACTGACGCGGCGAATGCGCTGATAACGTCGCGAGCAATGACGGACGCCCAAGACTCGTAGGATCCGCCGTGAAGACGAGGATCCTGAAGGTGACTGCCGGCGCGATATTGAAAATGGAAGCTGGCACTCTCTCCCGCGTGTCATCAGCGCCATCGACCACCGATGAAGATGGAGCGAATCGAAGGGGTACCCCACCCCGTGTGACCCGCGAAGGATTCGTCGAAGCCGAAAGCTGATATCAAAGATTTTTGCCAACTCAAGGAGGCAGAAGAAGCTCGTAAATTTCAGGAAACATGTGGTTCGATCATCAACGAAAATACAATCACTTGCGATCTTATGAATAAAAAAATAGTTAATATCGGGTTAACTTATATCGGCCGGAATTGTTTTTATCTGAAAAAAAAAAAAGGATTTCCTTAAAATATTTATTTTTATATCAGTAATTGAAGAAGAAAAAACTTGATATCATTTTACACCAATTGAAGAATGTAATAATCAAAATAACGTTATTAGTGGTACTTTTTATATTTAGTTAGACATATTGAAAGTTCAATTTATCTAATTTATCTAAATTTATCTCTTTTCTTTGTTTGGTGAATTTATGATGAAATAAACTGCAGTTCCTCAGTTAAAATGCAAATTTCGTTCCTGACATATATCGGAAATCTATGAAAAATGCCAAAGAATAATGTGACTGTAGTGCATTGGAATAAGAATAGCCAATGTCACCGCGCAATTTAAAAACGTAACAAAATATTGATTAATACATTCAATTTTTCACTATGGAGCCATAAAATAATATTAATCTTTTTCCATTTTGACTTGAATTTTTATGGATTTGATGTAAAAGTGCGGATAAAAATTTTACTACTCTTTTTTTTTGAACGCAGATTGAACATATCGAAAGAGTATTGCGAGATTAAAGGAGAGGAGGGAAATGCGCATCATAGCTGTAATATTTTTAGTTACACGGAAAAAGAGACAGAAATACTACGGTTACAAGGATTGCAACATTAGGCGAGTGCATTACGTTCGCATTTGTAATTATTATTTATTATATTAATCGCGATTATGCTATCGCGCGACGTATTTTTGCAATAATGCTCAGTGAGATATGCCGTTTATTAGCGTTTCCCAAAGCAAAAAATATAAATAACAAGATAAATCGAGAAAAATTGCGAACTTAATGATGTAACGCAACGTGCGAGAGAATTTTGTGTCAATATTCGCGCAAACAAACATTGGTAACGCTATTTTTTCGCGTTGTAATAAAAAAAAGAAATATATTTTTTTCTCTCGCCGCGACTCGTAGCTTAAACAGACAAGGCTGAAACGCACTCCGCAAAAATCTCGTAAATTTTCTTGATTCAAAGAAGTACTGTAATACTATTTCGTACGGTCTTGCCTTCAACCCTCGGAGAAGGGCTGAACAAAGTATCGGAAGTGAAATAAAGAAAGCGGCGGGGCAATAATAAGACTGCTGGTTAAAAATAAAAAGTACCACCGAAATTAATTACGCTCTCATCTAATCCCTTCGAGCGGCCTCTCTCTTTTACTTCTCAGCAGACAAAAGAATCGACCCTTTAATATTCACAGAATTTTTACCCGTATACACTATTATAATCAACTTAGAAACTCAGTCAAAGAAACGTTGCGATTTCTATCTACGCGATTCTTTTGCTTTAGAAAAATTTGCAGCGATATATCTCATAATAAGTAACATACTGGAAAAGAACAGAAAAGGATTAATTAAACAATTAAAAAAATAACAATAGTGAAAACAATTAAGAGTATTAAGTCTGAAAATTAAAATCTAAAAATTAGTAGAAATACAATTAATTCACTAGTCTCTTCTGGGAAAAGAAGTATTAAATATAAGTCCACTTTTCAAAGTGGAAACGCTTAAAGATGAAGTTATATCTGTTAAAAACGAGTCTTATTCTATTCACAAAACAGAAATTCATTCTGATATTTCACTCGATCTACATTATAGTATAGTTGAAATGCAGATAATTTTATTTATTATAACATTTTTAAGAGTGTAATTACAAAATTCGACTCTTTAGAAGACTTCACAAAACATAAGATTCCATGGCAAAATATTTCTTCTATGAGACAAAATAAGATAAAACACAGGTTTGTATCTACACCACAAATGAGGTGCAAATGAGTTGGTTCGTCACTCTTGCCGACCCTTGACACTAAAATCACGCCGATGGCATTAGAACTGGCTGAAGGTATTATTTTAGTAATTAGTTTCCTATCCTTGTCTTCGATTAGTAAAAACCGTATAGTACTTATTATTTATATCATAGAATATCTGTATTACATTCATATATTATTTTAATATTCTGTATATCTAACAAAAATAATGAAATGATTAGCAGAGCCAAAATAGCACCATCAGCGATTTTAGTATTAAGGGCTAACCGCCAGCTGACGAATCCTCCTTAACGCTTTCCATCGGCGTTTCCGAAAAGCCCGAAGCCTGGTTACTTATTGCGGCTGCGGCTGCATCCGGTTGTAGAGGCGGAGATGCGAGAGGGTGGAAGGTGGGGGGATGGGGAGGTTTGGACGCGGCGTGCCCGAGTAAATCACGGTGGATTTAAGTGGATCCTACAAACTCTCTCGCGCCGGGGCCACCCCTGACGATGTATCGTCCTGGGTAGAGTCGTTGCGGCACCACCGCCACCGCAGCGCGGATATAACCGAGTAAGAGATTCAGAGGCGAGCGAGAACGGCCGGCGAGGCAACATCCGTTGCGTCTTACGGCCGCGGCTTACAACAGAACTTCGTCGACTCGAGAAAAGCTCATAGACAGAGTAACGGATTATTCGTCGAGGGCCTAGGGCCTGACACATAAAAGGGCCTTAGGATAGATTACATGAAGTTTATATACGTAACACATGGAACTCTCTTTTGATTGAGGACAATACATTAGTTTCAAAGCAATCAGAAAAAAATTAACTCCGACATTATATGTTAGAGAAATTATTAATTAAAGAAATATAGATATCGATAAATTTACATTCTTCATCATGTGCTATCTTGAAACAAGGATAATTGAAAATATGAATTAAGCATTTTTAAAACGCCATATGTCAATTTATATAATTTTGAATTATTATAAAAAATAATAATTTTACATGATCGAGAGAGAAAAAACACCAATGAATAGCAATGTAAACTCTTTACTTTCGCTTAAAGGAATGTCTGAAATGTCTGTTATAAATGACAGAAATGTCGATGGTTCAAATAAACATCCTATAAAATATCGCACACGACTCTTTTATATCCGCCATCTAGTCATAACTATCTCCATATTTACATCATATTCCGCAGCAAATATTCGAGCGTTATTTTCGTAACGGTTCAGTACACCCGCTGTCGTCAGAACAAACAATATCGCGGAGGAAAGTTATTGTATGACATCGGGAGAGTTTCTGTGGCTTCCTCATGAAAGTCGGTGCGGTTGAAAGTGACGCCTGCGATCGTCCCTTCGATTCATCCTTTTCCTTGGTCTTTCAATATCATCTTTTTTCTCATCACAACGGTATGACGCAACTCTCTCGTCGTTACGACGGTCCATTTCGTTTCCTTCGTTCGTCTCGGGTCTTTCATCAAATTATGAGAACCGCCGTAGCTCTCCTGTGCTCGGAAATACCGTGACTTCCGGATGATATCGCGAGAAAGTCGGGAATGATGAACGCCACAAGAATGATCAGAATTTTCCGTCCAAGACGAGACGCTGAAATAACTTCTCTCTAGCTTATCTAGAAGCTTATCTAGTTGATTTAATCTTGGGATCTTACTACTTCGATTATCGTCGAATCATAAACATGTATTAAATAATAGCAACAATGTGAACAAAATTATTTTAATTTCTTACGAAGTTAAAAGGATACTTGTGAATTCTCATATTCAAAATTTGCTTCAAAATGTCTCGAACGATCAAAGTGAATTACGAGGACCATGCAAATACAAAGAGGAAGGAAGACTCACTCACATAAGCAAAGTTGCAGGACTGCGGCGAAGAGGGCTGCGAGTTTCCGCGCTGCCATGAGAGTCGACCAGTTTTCTGATGAGTCTTCGGGACACCAGTCGGCGATCTGAAAATGGAGAGAGAAATATTTTTCAATAAATGTGCAGTAATTGTCGATAGTCATCAACGCTAACAAATGAAAAGCTCAACATTCAAATGTATTGAAATAGTTTTCAAGATATGAAATATTTGTCAATATAACTTGAATAAATCGTAATAATAATTGTATACAGCTTCAAGTTTATCTGTGTGCTTATAAGTAAGCACGAGAAATTTATTTCTTATTATCGTATTAATTTGCATCATACGTCGTTTGTATCAATAAGTTGAATCAGTCGGAAGAATAATTATTCACCTCAGCTTCTGATTTATGTGTATGCTTGTAAGTAAACGTGAAAGATTTGTTTCTTGTTCTAATCCCCATCACACATCATTTGTTTCCTGTTTTTTATTTTATTCTTTTCTGACTTGAGAGAGAGAGAGAGAGAGAGAGAGAGAGAGAGAGAGCGTCAATTTTAATTATCGTTCATTTTAACTCTTTCGATACCCTTCGCAAAGGATTGACGAGGGAGAAAAAGGGAGTAGCCATAAGAGGGTTCAACGGAAGCGGAGAGGAAGAGGAAGCGAGAGATCGAAAGTAGCTTCGAAGCAAACTAACCACAACGGGTTCGCCGACTGTAATTAATGACCACCTCGTAGTTATCCTATCACCAATTAAGGGAGTTACGTTGAGAGAGGCGTCCCCTCGTTATTCTAAAGTGGTTAAAGATCACGAAGGCATCGTATGCGTGCATTCGTGCGCGCGATTCGGCTCTCACTAAAGGGCGCATATGAACAATGAAGCGTGAAAAAACCGATTAAACATTAGCAAAGAACACGCAAGGAGCATCCGCTGCAAGATTCTTTCTCGCAATATCAGCTAAAAACTAAAGGGGATAATAAAGAAAATGTTTTCAAAAGAATTTTCTTGAATAGAAAAGGAAGCAAAAGTAGACGTAGGAAAATACAAGAAGAAAGTATCAAAGAATGCTAAATAAATAACAGTTGCATATTTTAAATTTAAATAAAAAAAAAAAAACAAGAATTTAGAAGAAAGAATTTATCTATTTTATTCACAATTGCCCATAAAGTTCACAGTATAAACAACACAAACAGAATAAAGATAAGCTTTCACGAAGTTACAAGTTGTATACAAAGTGAAGTATATTTAATCTTTGTTGTACTTGAAGCTGTTTTCTAAGGTGGACTAATACTATTGGCACAATCCACATTTTCTTTTATCATATTATTGCTTTTTTCAACTTTTCAAACACTATTTTGGAAGTAAACGCCATGAGACGAAAAACTTTAATGTTTCAAACTTTTCCAATTCCCTGATAAAACTTTTTAAAAACTTGTGTATCCAAAAATTCTATGTATATGTATGTATATTGTACATATTGTAAGTCAGAAATGAGAAAATCACGATTACAATAAAATTCAATTGTCTAATGTTAAATCATAGATGTATGTGTACATGTTTATCTATATGTATGTGTGAATTTTTGAATATTGTGATAAAAGATTTGTGATAAAAGAATGGAAAAGAGGGTGGGTCTTCAGGGGGTGTCTTTTGTGGAATTCTTGCGTCAGATAACGCATCATTCTTTCTGCGGCAGCACGCTTTTTCCTCGTCGACGGAACATCCGCCGACTCATTCCACGATGTCGATAAAACCGCGGATGAGGAATTTTTATTCCCTTGCATGTCACGCGATGAAAGAAAGTGTCGACGAGGCCATCGATCCCGCACTGGCCGCACCTGCTTCCAACGCAGATCAATCTGCGATCCACCATCACCTCCGAGATTTACAATTTCTAGGATGCACTAATAGTGCAAGCAGAACGATGTGCGTAAAAAATAGGTGAATCAAGTCTTAACATGGAGAAGCGTCTACTTTTTGCCCGACTATCTCGATTTGCAAACAATAAAATTAATTAAAATAAGAGAAAGAAAGAATGATTTTGCTAAAGTATTTAAAAATTTAGTTAAATGTAAATCTAAAAACAGTTTGGTTATCCGGTTGGATTATCAAAATAATTATTATGTAGAACGCACAAGCTGATTGCTAGAATATAACAACTTTTTGCAGCATTGCTCGTCATGCCTGAGTTTCCTACATAATTATTTTATTTGGTTCAACAAAATTATTTTCAGATCTGTATCCAACTTAACTTTTAGATGCTTCAACAAAATCATCCTTTTATACAATTCACACGTATAGACAGCAACGAAGAGAATAAATACAAAATGTATGAGCATTCTTACAAAATAACATTTACATTGTTTTCTACATTTGTCACGAAGGTATTGATTCTCTTGACTATAGATATTACAGGAAAGAATTTTTCTGAAATACTTTAATATAAGCGTTTTAAAATTAACAAGAAATTCCCCGCGTGTTAATTACTTACACGGGCATGACGTTCCAAGGCTGACTGGAGAGAATCCAACTTTTAGAAGGCCTTCAAAATTCTATCGTGCATCCCATACAAGAGTAAAATTCGTTGTCCGCGTCGAGTTTGCATGAAAACGCGACGCGGCGAACGAATAAGCGTCAGAACACGGAACGCGGCTGTCGCAACGCGCGCTCAACGTTTCGGTTCATCCACTAAACGAACACACACTCTCTCTCTCTCTTTCTCTTTAGGCGGCCAATACATACAAGCCACCACGCACATCCATTCCGACAACGTCATCCCGCCAACGGTCGGCGATGCGACGCGATGCCCATAAAGCATCAAAACGACGCTTTGTTGCGGCAGCTTTATGGCGTAACGGCCGATGCGCGATGCGCGGCGGTGACGGATCGATTCGCTATTCGTCAGCAGTCATCTCGGAAGACAATCCAAACCCTATATGCATCGAGGCGCGCCCGGAGGAAGAGGGTTGCGCCGAAGAAAAATGAAAGATGGAAAGAATGGAGAACGGAAAGGGATGGTTATATGGGGCACACTCGGAAAGGCGCGATTGATTTATCGCAAAAAGAGGCCGCGGTAAGTGGACTATTTTTCAATGAATCGGTCGAGGAAGGGAGAGCGAGAGAGAAAGAGTGAGGAGGTGCCCCGATGGAAAAATGGAATTTTTCCGTGGGAAAATGGAATTTTGAGCGCACCGAGAACCTCCGAGAGGAGTACCAGCCGTCATACGTGCCTCAGTCACCCTCCGGTGATTTTGCGGGTGTTTCGATACTCCCGAGAGCGGGACGACGGTGGTTATGGGGGTGGGATACGTGTACCGGTAGGGGGAATAGAGAGGCGTGGGACGCACCGTAAGTTATGACTTTCGTCTCGCTCTCGCCATCGTTGCCGCACCGACGGCTCTATGAATGTATGCATGAGATACGAACTTTATGCTTTATGCATTGAACGCGCCGGTGATAAGAAGTCGCGCGCGTATGGCCAACGCGACTCCACATTTCGCGGTGGCGAGTGCGGAGGAAAAGAGAGAAAGCGGACCCTCCTAGTTTTCAATTTAGATAGATACTACTTTGATAATCAAAATGAGGAATATCCCAATATTATGTTTATTGTCGTTGATTTAAAGTATAAGATAGTGAAGCGAAAAGTAGCATACTTACCCTCGATTATACAGTATAAATTACATTGTCGATCTACCGTCATATGATTATCGTATACCCAATGATTCATTACTTCTTCTACATGGAAAAAACATTTTGCTGAAGTATCGAAAAAAATTTAGTTAGATATAGATTCGAAAATAATTGGACTATCAAAATAATAATGTAGAAATCTCATGATGAGCAATGTTGCAGAAAATTTTAGCAATCTGTTTGAACGTTTCTACATAATTATTTTAATAGTCCAATAATACTATTTTCAAATTTTTATCGCTAAATATTTCAAGCGCTTAAATTTTTAGATACTTCAGCAAAATCGTTTCCATGTAGATCTATTAAAACAAATCCTGAAAGCACCTATCTTGTACTATTACAAATATCATATATGTGAAAGTTATATATACATATATGAATATTGTAAAGCAAATGCGTATAAATATAACTGTCACATATATGATTCTTGTAACACAATAGAATAAGGTTTTTCGAAACTTGCTTTTATTAGATCCAGGGGATGAAATTATTGTCCACGGATGTATACTACAATCTAAGACGATAATTATAGGCGATTGTTTTGATATTGTTACATTAATTATGTAAAACTTGTAAATTAAAAGCGATGAAAAATTTTAATTCGCAAAATCACTACAGAGACGGAATTGTATAACGAAGTCTTGTGCTTAACTTAATTTCATGTGATTTGATTTTAATCGGATTTTAAGTTGGAAGTTTGTTGCCACCGAGATATTTAATGCTGTAAATGACGGAGTTGCGAAAAATTCTAGCTGGAAGATTCGAGTTGCTCAAGATATCCGTAATTGAAAAAAAAGATACCATAGCTCCAAGACAATTTATACATCCATGATAGATCCATGTAGTCTGGAGATCAATTTCTTTGAATATGCCGACGAGTTGATAGCCGACTGCAAATAAAGGATCGAAGACGACGTTTAATAGAGACGCGAATATCTCTGGAAAGAGTACACAACGGCCAATATGAAGACTCGTGTCTTATCATACATCTTTATATGTATACTGCGTGCTCGAGCATCATCCCGTTATTTGAAGCCACGATTAATATCCTCATCGAGTAATAATTTTTCCAAATATTACCCAGGATAAATTTATTAGATAATGGATCAGCCCAAAAGAATTAAAAAATGATGCCATCAAAATGATTTCAAAATGGTTATTAAAAATCACTTTTCGATCAGTTACCATTTTAACGTCCAATCATTTTAATGTTAGCGTAACCTGTTGTTCTGTTTGGAAAGTAAAGATAAAAATTTTTGGATTATAGGAACAAAGAATTAATTTTCTCTTAAATCTACTATTTAATTACTCAATTTTCCGGTATTATATTTAACTCTTAAGCACTTTTTCGGTATAGCGTTCCCAGCTATCTTTTTTCAATACCTTTCTAATGTTTTCCCCATTACTTATAACTT